ATGGTAAAAAATTATAATTTTTACCCTGCCTTTACCAATTGGGATTCTCTTATTAATTTTACACCTTTCAATAAAGCTACAAAATAAAAAAATAAAAAATAACGTAATTATTTTTTAATTAATTTTTCAAATAATATATTAGATTACTTACCTAATGGTATTTTTAAAATTTAATATATAAGGATTTCTTTTTTTAAAAAAAATTAAATGACCATAAAGTTATAATCATATTACACGAGCATTAGTTGTAGAATCTTTATTTAGATAATTTTTAATAGTTTTTTTTTTGATATTATACAAAATTAAATGGTCGATGAATTATTATGTCACAATTGTTATTAAAATCTTCGAAAAATATTTATTTAGATAATTTTTTTAAAAATTTAAACATAGTAATTTTTAAGGTAATTTGAAAGAATATAAAAAATAAAAATTTTACAGGTCATTGAGATTCTCGATAGGTGTCATTTAGTTCAAACTTTCAGCTCGAGATTAACGCATATTTTCAGTACAACCACGACAATTTTGTAACGAAAAAGAGATGCTTTTTTGTGTTATAAAGTTGGATGACTCCAACAATTCTTCTTTCCCCAACACAAAGAAAAAAATAAAAAAATAAAAAATACTTTAATTTGATTGAATAGAATTTGAAAGCACCAAAAGACCAACAATGGTTCCAAGCAATCACTTTTTTTATTTTTCTATTTAAAAATATAATTATTTTTGGCTTTTGACCAAAACATTACTAAAAATAATAATAGTTAATATAATTGGGCATGATTGTATTTAAATATTTGAGTTTATTGGTAATATTATCTCCAATTATTCCCTTTACAACTTAGCCTTTGCCTTAAATTATTTACATACAATACCTATAATCCAACCCCTACTCCTTAAATTATTGGTAATATTTGAGCTATGCATGGCTCTTTGGTAAGATTCAGTGGTTCTAACGTTCCCTGCATCTCCTACGACATGGTCATTTAACAACCCATGGGCAAGATTCGGTAGCCCTAATGTTCTCAGCATCTCCTATGACATGGTCTTGTGAACAGCACGTGGGCAAGATTAGGTGGCCTTGACATTCCCTGCATCTCCTACAACATGGTCATGTAACGGCCCATGGGTAAGATTCAGTGGCCCTGACGTTCCCTGCATCTCCTACGATATGGTCATGTAACGGCCCATGGGCAAGATTCAGTGGCCCTAACGTTTCCTGCATCTCCTACAATATGACCATGTAACAGCCCATGGGCAAGATTCAGTGGCCCTAACGTTTCCTGCATCTCCTACAATATGGCCATGTAACAGCCCATGGGCAAGATTCAGTGGCCCTGACGTTCCCTACATCTCCTACAACATGATCACATCACCTACTCCTCGTTTCTTAAAAGTGAAGACTTATCCTCTAAGACCAACACGAAATTCATAGGTCACACAACATATAATTGTTCCAAGTAAAACACGCTTAACTATGAAATTCTTATGATTTAGCTACCGAAAAAGAAAATGTACTAGTAACTTTCATTTGTTTTAAGTTTTTCTTAGCCGTTCTATTATCAGTATTGGTCTCATTCAAATGTGGTTTTGGTTCTATTATCAGTATCAGTATCAGGACGCACGTTAGAATATTTATTTTAACAATTCATTTAACAAAAATATATCTCGAGGTATAAATTACCTTAAATTCACGTTTAAGGTAAAGATTACGACACTCATTTAAATTTAATACAATTTTTTTAAAACCAATCAAATCGTATAAAACATTGGTTTGGTTTCTTCAATAAAATCATAGGATTAAAGAAAAAAAAATATATAAGTGAATGTAAAATGATGATGATCATCACTTAATGGACCATATACTTAATATTGTTTTATAATATAAACATTATATTATAATTTTATATTATTCTTAATGCTCTTCAAAGCTTGAAAATGACACAACCAAATTATAATTAAACAAAACCATAAACATATTTTAAAAAATAATAATTATTTATTTAAGCAAAAAAGAATATTAACCCAAAAGAAAAAAAAAAAGTAGGAATTAATGCAATATTAAATTAATTATTAATTAATTAATTAAATCAGATACCCTTTGGACTAAAAAGAAAAGAAGAATTGTTTCCTTTTTAAAGGGAACTAAGAGCTTGAATGTCAAGTTTATGCAACTGCTGAGTTGGAAACTTTCCTTTTATTCACCCCTAAAATATTATTAATATATTTATATATATATATATATATATATATATATATATAAACACATATTTAACCGTAGAGTTCTAATGATTGATCGTACACATTTTTTAGGGACTGAGATATTTTTTTGACGAGATGTAAATTTTTCAACCCAAACAACTATTATCAGATAATGAACCCAATCCAAATCGACCATAATTTTTGGATTGAGTTGGTTCAGGTTATTTGAGTCATCTATTAATTTTTTTGTTTTTTTTTGTAAAATATTTATTTATTTATTTTCAAACATTTAATTAAGATTTACCATTCAATTTGAATATATATATATATTTAAAAAAATTACTTTTAACATTATTACAAAATAAATAATAAAAAAATTAAACAAAAATATGTATATATATAATTGTATCGGGAGCAAAAATGTATCTTTTAAAATTAACAAAAAATTCAATCTAGTGAACCTAGGAATCAACTCGAATCGTAATGTTTTCATTTATTTGAATCGAACCGAACCGAACCCATTCTAACCTAAATAGTACGTGTTGGATTTTTCAAGACATCGAGGTTTTTGAACACTTCTATGTGTTTTTACTCGAGCGTCACATTCTCGTGTTTCATTTTTATATTTAAATTACCGTTTTAGCTTTTGTAATAAAATTTTTACAAATCATTAGAAGAAATCGTGACATCATTTTCTATTTATTTTTCCGATACAAATAAAATATTTATAAATATAAAGAGGAAGAATCAAGAACATAATTAAAATAAAATAGTACAAATATAAAAAAATAAATTAGTTTGATGGGGAGACATAAAATGGGTTGTAGTTGACTAATGCAAAACCAAAAGTTATTATATATTCATAAAGCTTGCCTTTGTTGTTGATATGACTTGACCACTAATTATTTTACCCTCTTTTTTTTTTCCTTCAACCTCCCCACTACTAGGGTTTAGGAGTGGTTGTCGACTTCTAATTCGATCCGAGAGTCGAGATATCCGTTGTCGAGAGTCGTTGTGAATAATACAACAAGAATATTTTACCCTTCGCACACTGAGACTGGAAATAGGGCAAGAAAATTCGTTTGAGCTCTTTGGTGCGACTTGCATTAGGTTTAGTTTAGGGATCAGGTGCACAAGTGCTTCCACCCGACACAAAAAGGTTGTAATGATTAATAGAATTACGATTCAAATTTTGAAGATACAAGTTAAATTTCTTGAACGGACAGTACTCTAATCAGATTTGTGCTCTCTTCAACTAATTTTACGGGATTATTTCACAGCTTGTACGCAATTCAAAAGCACCATTTGTTTCAGTATGATTTTATATACAAAATAATAGTTGTTAGATATAAACTTGCCTATAATATATTGGGTCAAAGCTGCAAGCTTAGTTTAGGTTGATCTTGAGTTCATCGGTCGTTGATTTTGATTCTTTCGTCACTGAAGGGATCGTAGAAAAAAAAAATATATATTTTCGAGAATAATTCTAAAATAATTTTTAATATTTAATATCAAAGATTAGGGTTAATTGGAACAAACTTTAATTTTCTAATTAAAGGTTACATTCTTGTCTCTATGATTCTCATAGGCCAACTTTGTTAATACAATTCCTAAAAAAAAATAAAAGTTTATTTTTGTTCAAGACAAATATTAAAAGGATTTTTTTTATTTAGAAAAATACATATTTTGATAATATATTTTTTTTTATATAAAAAGTATGTTTAATCTCATAATTTTGTTCTATTTTGTCTCCAATTTTTCAAAAATATTTGTTTAAATCGAATCCCAAAATTGGAAAGAAATAATTTTTTTTTTAACTTTAAAAATGTTATTTTTTATATTAAAAAGTTGGATGATAATGATAATAATAATAATATAAAAATTATTAGTGATTTTTTAATTTTTCTTTTACCAAAAAGGAATTTCAAACTGTTACCACCACCATATGTGTCACCTAACAATATCTTAGAATCAAAATAAAAATTAATAAACAAATAAATAACCTAATTAAAATTCTAAACGGTTGAACCTTCAATCTTAGAGAAAGAGTACATGTCAATTACCGTTGAACTATATGAATTGTGACAGGAACAACTAAAATTGAATAGAGCTCAACGAGAATTAAAATAGAAAAGTATAAATTGATGCGATAATGAAATTTTAGGAATAAAATTCAAAATTGAAAAGAAATACATGTCAATTACAGTTGAACTAAACTTTTTTTCAAAAGAAACCGTACAAAACTAAAATTCGAAATTGAAAATATAATGAATAAAATGATATGAGAATAATTTTTATATAATAATTATTTTTACGAAATTAACTAATTGGATTAGCCAAAAGATATGCTAGCTTAATAATTTTAAAAAAAATATATTTTAATATTTAAACTAATAATATATCAACTATTTTTTTTTTCAAAAAAATAAAAATGGCATGAGATGAATTAATTGACAAATAAGTTCATAATCCATTTAGAATAAAATTTCAAATTTCGGGACTAAAAATTAATTTATTCTGGAAATGGAAGAAATCATTATATATATATATATATATATATATATAATAAAAATAAAAATATTGATAATGAAGTATAAAATCCTAACATTTCAAGATATGACAATGGAGAAATTCTAATTCAATGGTTTTGTCACAAATCTTGAAACCTAAGACATTTCAAGACATGAAAAAACCAAGTGAAAATGGAGAAAAAACAAGTCGATCAATGTCAACTCTAGCTTGTGAATGAAGAAAGCAGCCTCTTCAATCATTTCAAACAACCTGTAATTTCATCGCCTAACTAAGAATAAAGGGTTCAAATTTTATTCCGATCCTCAAATTTGTTCGAACAACGAACAAAAGTGTTCGATGATGAGGATCTCCAGACTTGCATTACATCTCTTTTCAATTTTAGTTCAACGTGTAGAGAATAAAATTTCAAACCTTTTACAATGCACTTCAACCAGTTAAGCTACGCTCAATTGAGCGAGTTATCTCGCTTTTAGAAGGATCAAAATTTAACAGTCGTGAAATCGTCTACAAAACGGATTAAAATAGCTAATCACACCAATTACAAGGAAGTTGAAAGATGTTTCCCTTTACATAAGTTCCTTCGAGTTGTCTTTTTATTTCACTTTTGTCCTCAACTTTTCCTCCCAGGTTAATAGTGGAAGACTAAAATTTGACTATTTTTCAACAGAATTCATCACCTCTAGTAAAAGATATCTCCCCCTTTTGCTTTCGTTCTTTCTTTTCGTTGAACCTCTGGTGATAACAAAGAATCTCTTTTGCTGTTTAGTTGACCTGTGGAGGTTCTCTTCTTTTCCCTCCTTTTTGATTCCTTTTACAGCACAGATGGAGGGGAATTGAGCAATTCATACATACATTTTTATTATCTTCTGTGTTTTAACTAAATACAGTTCCTATTTCTGTCCGTACTAATAACTAAAACCTCGAAAATTCGATCAAATCCAAATGCGTCCTTACCTCTCTTCGTTTGCTGATGTTTTTTGCGAGGAGACTCAGGCAAACCGCTTTTTGAACAAATGATGTCTCTTCGCCGGGTCTTTTGGCTTGCTCTTCATCTGCCCTTGACCCGCGAGTTTTCGTCCAGTGCTGGAAAAAGAATAACCATACAATTGGTAACCAATGCATCAAAAACAACCGCTGCTACTTTCGTTTCGTTTCTATGTTTAGATTATGTTGTGATATTCAGGGAAGACATGCTATACCTGTACTCCATGTAAACCATTCCGTTTGCTCCCGACATTGCGCTCATGGACCCGGTCATTCGGCGAGCCTTATCAAGTGCAATTTGGTCTGTATCATCTTCTAACTGCTCCAATCCTACCATATCGTCGCCTGCATTCAATACCTGGCGAATAAAAGCATGTCAGAATGTCCTCAGAGAAGAGAAGAAATGAAAAAGAATGTTCTCAGGGAAGAGAAGAATGAAAAATATTTGAAGATGATAACCTTCCCGAGAAGTGCCAACTGATCATCAAGACGATGATAGCTCAAATCAGCTCCTGCATCCGCTGGTGGCAAGCTTGTAATTACCTGCCACAATTCCACTTCTATAAAAAATGACAAGACACATGCATTCATCTGTCACGCATGCCGAAAGTCCTAAGATATTTAACTTCATTTTCCATTTCTCACAAGTTCCAAACAAGTGTCAGTAACTTTTTGATAAAAAGAAATATTACTTAAACGATATTTTGGATAAGGACCCTTTAACATGTAAATTTCAAATAATAAGCTGACTGCAGCGAATGCTGAGACAAAATACTACCTTAAAGCTATAACCTTGATCGATCAAAAACTGTTGTCGTTTAGTTGAATAGTACATTTCCTGCATTAAAATTCAGCATGCAATGTACTTCATTAGACCAAGAGAGAGAATCAATTTTACATATTGCATTCAGATAACGAAGGATAGATTTCAACCTGTGTATCAGTAGAAACAAGTGAATAGAAAAAGGCATTATACTCCTCTTTACCCCCAGCCATCCTGTCCTGAAGTTTACCCTGTTGGTCCAATACAAATAATAATAATAAGTATATATCCCATCTAATTTTTTTTTAACAATAAAATCTCGTGTTAAATTATCATGGAAACCCAACATCGCCTTATCCATGGCTATAAATTCTCCACCTTGACTACCAAACAAGAAGGATTCTTGTACAGAACCATACGCACTCAATTATTCACCAGTCCAAGGAAAAAGTTATGCATGATACCGCACAAGGTTACATTAGATGAGAAAGAAATAAAGGCTTCGGAAACACATGGAGGCGGTGTATTTATGTTTGTATCTCATCGGCCAACTACTCAGATCATTATTAACAATCAAACGAGAGGGAAAATTGGAGCCACCTGTGTTCTCCTACAAAGTGATCCCTTATTGCCTTTTCCATCTTTTTAAGAAGCATCAGGACTGAATATCAATAGGGAAAAGTCTGAATTTTTGGGTATTAACTGGTTATGAAACTGAACTTAGCTAACCAAATTGGCTGCAAAGTTAGCTCATGGTCCTCTAAATACTTGGGCCTCCCATTGTATGGTAACCCATCTATCCTTTCCTTTTGGCAGTCTATCATGGATAAAATCAGCAGAAAACTCAAATCCAACACAAACAGCTGCAGCATTAAAAAAATGATTCTGCAAATTCCTATGGTCGGGAAATAAGGGGAGAAGTCTGTCGCACCTTATCAAATAAGACAAAGTGAAGAACCAGATTTCAGAGGGGGGCTTGGGTATAACTAATATCAAATAGAAAATTAAAGTTCTTCTAGCTGAATGGGTTTCGAGATTTTCTATGGAAAAGGATGCCTTATGGAGGAAGTTATCAGTCGAAAGTTTGGAACTTCACATTTCAACCTTGAATCAAATGCTCTAACTAGAGTCGTTCATAATCTTATTAGCATGATTTAAGAATTGGAAACGATCTGGTTTCCCCTAATATACAACTTATCTGATTCAAAATTCAATACTGTGGCTGAAGTTTATGAAAGAGAATTATTCATGGGTGTTCATACCAACTACAACTTATCGGATTCAGAATTCAATACTGTGGCTGAAGTTTATGAAAGAGAATTCTTCATGGGTGTTAAACTTGAGGAGAAACCTCAAAGATTCTGAAATCCAAGAGTGGATAATTTTTTTTTTCTTTTTCTGCAGAAAGCCCCTACATACCAACCCTCAACCGAACAAAGATAAAGTTCCATCACTGGGAACAAAGTCATAGATTCCATCAGTGGGTGTTAAACTTAGCTCTTTTCTTTCTCTCTATTGGTGTAAAAATGTTAAACGTTTCAGCAATTATAGTCTAAGCTCTCTCATATCCAGCTGCAGAAGTTTTTTCTAAATTCTATTGATGGGGTCTCCCTTTTGTACATTTCATTTAATCAATGAAATTGTTTACTATCCAAAAATTCTTTTCATCTGGAATGAAATTTGAAAATGCAGATTAATTCCAACAAACTGATCAACAGAAATATTAAAATCAGCAAAGATATTAAACAGCAGATGTAGTTTTAACCTTCGCCCTAAGAATACGTCCCAGACGTTGGGCTTCTTGACGTCTTGAACCCGCATGTGATGAAATCTGAATAATCACATTTGCCTCGGGAATATCTATAGAGTTATCACCGACCTGAAATAAAACAATACCAATCAATCCAACTCTCGAGTTGATAATCTAAACATCAAACTAATAATAGTATGTTTGGGTAACTTTTGAAAAAACTGTCTTTTAGCTAAAACCGCTTTCTATAAATACGTTAGTGTGTGTTTACTATAGCTTCTTTTAAGTGAATTAGGCTACTAAAAGTTTATGTTTAAAAGTCAAGCAATTTTATTCGAAGTACTTAAAGATAAGAATTTAAACAAGAAGGTACAGCAAACTCACCCTAAGACCTAAATCATACCTCAAATTGGTCACTAATCACGAAAATATTTGGAAACCCAGATGCCTCCCAAGGACTCACAACTCTATCCAGTAAAAAATAACAATAAAAGTTCACAAAAGGAAAATTATTGACCAAGTTCTTGACAACAAAAGCTGGCTGGCTCCGCAGTCAATTATTGACCTTCATTTATTTGTACATCAGATTGGTCGATAATGAAGAAAATATAATGCAACCACTGGCATAGTCAATCTAAAACCAACCATGTCCTAACAATTTTATTCTTGTTGTTATTACTACTACTACTTACATTATTATATATTGAGAGTGAAGAAGGAAAAGGGAAGGACAAGAGAAGAAAAGTACCTTTGAGAGAAAAACAGTATTCACGTCACGACTAGTTTTGAATGCTTCAAGAATTTTTGTCCTCTCAAGATGACTACAAATTTGAAAAATAAAATGAAAATCTAGCTATGGATGTCAAACAACACATGTAAAGTGGAGTTTTGTAAGGCAAAACAATTTTGTCTAACAACCTTGTTGCACCATAGATCATAGGTTTACGAAGCTTCATTGCATACTCCGTAAGTGCAAAAAGATTGTCAGCAAAGACTATTATCTTATCACCACGCTGCTGTTCATGAAACCGTATGAGAAACTCACACGCCCTGAACTTGTTGGGGTTCATTACATAAAGAGCCTGAAATGTGAAAGCCAGTATATAAGAGAGGGAAACAACCGCAAACACAAAGGAGACAGAAAGCACGTGAACTATAAATGGCAAACAGATAGATGATATTCCAAAATACCTCAAATCTTAAACCAGAACATACCATACCGGTTATATCCATATTATCTTGTCAACTATAACATGGTTCTTAGCATGTTGACAATTACTATAGGAGGGGCACGAGGTATATAAATAAAAGAAACATTAATTTTATTGATATTCAAAAACCTGCTTTTTCTTTGAGTTTTCTTTCTTCAGATATTCAGCAAAAAATTCCTTTGTCATAGGGCACCAAACTTCAGCACACTGCACATTTGCAATAAATCCTCCTTTCACAAGATCCAACCAGTTGGCTTCATACAACTTGGGACCAATAAGGAAATTTAAATCTGTAATTCTTTCATCTTCTCTGACAAGTGTGGCTGCAACAAATTAGCCAATGTTAATTTTCAGTGCCAACAGAAACAACAAAGCAAGAAGGTTAGAAGACCATAACGTCATGTACCAGTGAGCCCAAGCTTGCAGTGAGACTTAGTCAGGCTGATGACCTTACGAAACATGTGAGCAGGAACCACATGCACCTATAAACAGAATAGATGAAAACTTGCCCAAAAAATGTCTGATTAAAAGAACAAGAATAGGTGAACACAAAATGGTAAAATTACCTCGTCCATGAGAAGTAGCCCCCATTCTCTATTTCTTATCTCTTCAATAATCTTTTCAGATTCTTCAGATCTTTTACCACCAAAAGCAACCATGTTATAGGTTGTAACAACCACCCCAGCATTACCTCGAAATCTTTCTTTACTATCTGATGTGAAACGACAAATTTGATCATCCCGAATGGTAGACCACAACTTAAACTGAAAAGCCCACTGATCCACTGATACAGCATTTGTAGCTAAACACAGACAACTTTTCCGGATACGACTGGCTGCAGAAACACCAACTAGAGACTTTCCGGCTCCACAAGGAAGTACAATAATGCCAGATCTTGCTCTACCTGCAAACATATATTCATAATCAGAGCTTGAAACTATATAACTGGCCATTCATAGTTAAGGTATCTTGGAAAACTCAAAAAAGAGGGAGAAAAAATCCCAAGTTACCTAAACTGGTCATGGGGCCAGAAATTACAGGATAGGACATTAAAATTTAGAAAAAAAACATTATCCACAAGAAAGTAAAAAATGAAAGAGTGTTCTTTTTTTTTTCTTTTTTTAACAAAGAAAACAAATTTCTATTTAGCGATAACCATTTAAATTTGAGCCAAAATCATAACTTCCAAGCTTTCATCATACTTTGAAACCAAAAGGCAACAGAATATGCAAAAAAGTAACTTTATTTTACAAAAGTACTGTCCAAAATAAAAATAAAAAATAAAAAAAAAGGAGTAAAATAGGGTGTTGAGATTACTTCTAAAAACTCAAACACAAGCAACTCAAAAGTAACACAGAAACCATGCAATACCACCTACCATTTCCAAACATTTTACTAAGACTCTTTTCCTGATAGGGCCTTGGTTGAGCCTGTGGCTTCAGTTCCATATCCAAGTCTGGATTGATCTAAGAATCCAAGAATTAATATTGAAATAAGACACTCACTTCTTATACAGAAAATATGAACATAATTAAACGTTGACACAATTCTCCTTCCAACATCAGGATTTAATGGGAAAACAGCTCCGTAAAGACTCACAGTGTCATTTCTGAAGTCGTACTCTTCCAACATGGGATAATTTAAGGCATTGGGCAAGCAGCGTTGTTTAACATTTTCAACCTGTCATTTGATCAAGATAAAAAATACAATAAACAAGGAGAGGGCGAACAATAAACATTGTCATTCAATCTTAAAACTTCGAAAACCATATTACTTGTGCTGGGTCAATTTCAAATGAATGAGTTTCTCTTTCCTCAGCTGCAGCTGCAGCTTCTGCCTCGTTGAGCAATCCTTCATGGCGATTGCCAAGTTCACCTGCTGTCTTGCTAATTGTAAACTCGCCATTTCCATGAGAATCCTGATAGTTTCCAGTATCAATAAAAACAAGGTGCAGGCACGTCTGAAAAATTAACACACCAGTTAGGACCATACCTCGTGAATGATTCTGGCTCTGCCTATAACCTCATCCCTGAGCAGTTTCTGCAACACCTGCAACAATTAAGCGACCATTTAGTTTGCCAATAATGACTGGACCATGTATTTCCATCTAAACAAAGAACCAAGTTCAGTGAGCACTTGCCTCTGGAAATGGAGATTCCACGAGATATCGGTTCTTTTTAAGGACAAGCTTCACCTTGCCATAGTTGGAAGTAGAAGCATAAATGAAATCAATCATCTCTTTGGGGAGTTTAGCCTTTGATAACTTACTAAGAACTGCGATAATTGTATCTGTCTCCAGACCGACAGAAACCGCAGCATACAAAGAATGCGGAGTGAGGTTGTACTCGTGCATTGATTCTGGCCTGAATATTGATCAATTAGCATATTTACAAGAACAATGGCTTAATCTTAAAGATAATCCACCAAAGGTTTCTGCTTCAATATATTTAAGTTACCTGCAAACTGGTTCCGCGATAGCAATAAGGAAATCGTATGCTTGTTTGTACAAGGGCGAAAAAGTTTCAAGGAATATGCGGCCATCAGAACAGGCCCATAAGGGCCGGTTAGTATGGTCAGGTTTTAACTCTAGTTTGCTGAAATCCCTCTTGCCCCCTTCTTTATCGCCTAAAATAACATAAGCTCAATCAAAAACCATAATCGTCATGTCTCACAACTCCAAACAATCAGAAAACCATATCAAATAACGATGCAATTCATTAATCAAACCAAATATCCTCCAATTCCACGAAAGCCTAACATAGATACGATAATTTTACCATTGCGATCATCGTCGTCAAACTCTTCAAAATGATAGGCATCTTCTTCTTCAAAATGAGCTTTCTTATAATCCTCCTGAAATTATGCTCGATTGATCAATCATTATTACGCAATACAAAAACACCGAACCCATTAAAGAAACTGGACTTCAAAACCGAACAAACCTTGCCGAATTTAGGTCGTTTGCTTGATCTTCCTTTATCACCTGAAACATTGAATGTTCTACATCAAAACTAATCTTCTTTAGGGCGGAAAGAAACAATCCCGCAAAAATTAAGAACGAGAGAACAAAGATTGTAATCCACCACAGTTTTACCATGTCCCATAGCTTGAAAAATGAGATGCAGAGGCTGGCTGTATGATCAGATGCGCTTGGATTTTACGAAACGGAGTGATGAAAGAGAATCCAGAGATGAAGAACACTACCGACTATCAAATGAACCGCCTCAGGTTTTAAAAGAATGAATCGGCGTTCGCGCTTCGGCTGTTCGCCGATTTAACAGACTGCTATATATTGGTTTATCAATTAACCGAAAGCAAAATAGCCGAAAAAAATAGAAAATAAAATAAATTAAAACAAAAACTAATCGATTATATATTTATTTATTTTTTAGTAAGTAAAAAGTATATATATATTAATGTCGAACACTATACTATAATATTTAAATTTAAATTTTTAAAGGTTACTTATTATATATTTAATTATTTACTTACCCATCTATTATATTTATTTATTTACTTACTAAAAAAATAAGTAGTTTTTTCCATGATATTTAAATTTTAATTTTTAAAAATTAACATTTTAGATTGATTATGGTTTTGTATGCTATTAATGAAAATATATTAAAAAATTTATTTAAAAGTAACATATTTTAGAATATTTTTCCCGAAGAATCTGGTTCTCATGAGTTTCTAGCATAAATAAATAAGGTATATTTACAAAGATGAAGATTTAATAGGTGACGGAACGGAGATAAGAAAAGTTTTTCTTCTTCTCCCCATCTCGTCTCATGGACATCTCTAATTTAGATGCAAACGAATAATTTAATCACGAGATAATTACGAGAGAACATAATTTTTTTACTGTAGGTTAAAAGGAGATGACGACGAGATTATATTACTTGTCTCCCCTCGTACTTATATTTTCTCACTTTAGGCTAAAAATAGGTAAATTGAATTGAAAAATAGGGTGTAATATTAAATTTTATAATATTTAGAATTATATATATATATATATTAAGAATGAATATTATATATCTTATAATTTAATTATGTTTCTTTGAAAATTTTAATTTTTTCCTTAAAATTTTAAAATTGGTTCTAAAAAATATTTTTTATGACATTTATGGAATTTAAAAAAATTAAATTTATAATATTAATATTTGTAGTTTTAGTGGCAATCGAGACGAAAGTCGAAAAGCACAGCGGTTTCGTTCGTCGACGAAGTTCGGTTATTCGTTCCATTTCTTCGTCTTCTTCAGGTTGATTTGCTCGACTCTCACAACTCGGCATCTCACAGACAAAGATGAGCGCGCACAACTCCAAGTATTTTTCCACCACCAAAAAGGGTGAAATCCCCGAGCTCAAAGAGGAGCTTAATTCTCAGTACAAGGCATTTCTCTATCTGTCTTTCTCTGTACCCCGTTTTTGCTTCAAATTTGTATTGCTTATTCAATGTCTGGGAATTTTTTGTTCAGCATTCTGTCTAGCTTTTCGGTTTGTGATCCGTGATCTATATGAATTCAGTTGATTGATAGTTCAGGTGCTTTTTTGTTTTTTTGTTTTTTTTTTTGAAATCATCGTCTTGTATGGTTGACTCGAAGATCTGCTGGGTTTGGTGTTTGACATATTTTTTGTCAAAGCTAGTGTCTGAATACCTTGAGTTGTTGGAATATTCTGTAATTAAAAAAAAAAAAAAAAAAAAAAAAAAA